CTTGAGTTGCAATAAAATGAGTACTGAACTTCTGGAATCTCTTAAGTATCTTGAGAGTAACTGTTTTGTAAAGGCTGTTTATGAATACAGACCTTTACTATGCATGGGGACAGTAATGGAGAAAATCATGCTACTGATTGCTTTGACTTATAAAAAATGTGCTTGAACCTCATTATTATTCTCTTATCCTTACAGTGGATGATGTTGGAGAAAAATTGGACCACATAGGAAGCACTCCCTTGAAAATTAGTACTGAGGTGACAAATGATGAAGTTGCTAAAGATGACGGCTTTGGTTCAGAAGTTATCAAAGTGTACATATTCAAAGCTGAAGCTGAAGATGATGTCGAAATAGGTACATTTGAAATTCTGTGCATTCTTCCAGTAGTTTGAAGTATTTCAGGGTCTTTTTGTTTGTTCTTAATTTCATGTAATCCACAGACTGGAATGTTTTGTAGAGTGTGACGTTGGTAGAGGCTGCCCGTATCTGGTAAATACTGGATGTGTATTGATCTCAAGCTCTTTTTTGATCAGCAGTATTTATTTTCAGGCAACTGTCCTGGTTTTGACTGGGACAGAGTTGGTTTCTCTTTTTAGCAGCTAGAAGAGCTCTGTGTTTTGGTTTTAGTCTGGGATTTGCTATGGGAAGAATGTGGACAGCGCACTGATGTTTATAGTTGGCACGGAGAGCTCAAGGACCTTTCAGCTTGCCCTGTTTTGCCAGTGTGCAGGAGCACAACAGGATGGGGGGGCATGGCCGGGACAGAGGGCCCACAACTCGCCTTGTGATTCGAACGTGGATTCAGGATTGAGGGATAAATTGGCCAATGAAGCACTCCGTATCGTGCAAGTCGTGCCCAGTATATAGGTGACGGCTGCCCGGAAAGGAGGGCTTTTGCTCTTCTGGGAACGCTCTTCTGAGGGCTCTCAGACTCTCCAAGCGATCTCTCTCTCTCTCTCCGGCTGCCTTTTTGGGCCCCTTGCTCATCCAGGATTGCAGGGTCGGGATTTATCTGTTTCAGGATCGTTAGCCAGGACGGGACAGGCGTTGGTCACTGGGTGGTGAGCAATTACACTGCGCATCACGTGTTTGTGTATATTATTATCATTATACATATATCTATTCATATGCTATTACTATTATTATAGCGTTATTAATTTTATATTATTGCTGTTACTAAATTGTTCTTATCTCAACCCGCAAGCCTCCTTCCCTTTTCTGCTTTAATTCTCTTCCCCAGTCCCTGGGGGTGGGGGAGAGTGAGCAAGCGGCTGCGTGGTGTTTAGTTGCCAACTGGGCTAAACCATGACAGCAGCCAAAGCCCAAATGTAGAAGAGGTTGGGTGTCTGCAGCTGTTTTTCAGCTGTTGCTTTTCTCTGACATTGCAGGACTGTGTATCAGCACAGAAAAGCCTCCAGAGTGGATTCCTGTCGTTGAACAGTCTTTGGTGGTGTTAACACAGAGAGAGGGGAAGATTGCTGGGGCTGTAGGCATTCAGTCATTTCCAGACCTAACCAAGAAACTCAGAATTGCTCCGCAGTTCTCTTTTGCACAGGATAGATCCAGCACTTCCAGATGCTTTGCAAGTGGTCATACAGCTAACCCACGTTCTGTTCTTCATAATTTGTAAAAGCAGAGTCGCCCTTACGTTTTGAACAGACAGTATCTGATTCAGCTGAAGGTTACTGAGTATTTCTGTTAAGGCCCTGGGATTTTCAGTATTTGATCCTTAATTCCTTTTGAATATGAGAAAGAGGTTGTCAAGGCCAAGTGCTTGATAAGACTATGGGGAAAGGATCTGGAGGAGCGGCATGTTAACGTCTCTTATCTACTGTGACATCTGTTTCGTCTGCCGGGTTGTACGTGAATTGCCAGGCCCTGTTCTTGAGATGTGGTTTCTTCCTCTGGGGATAGGTTGTCAGGCTTGAGGGACACAGACTGCTAACGCAGCAGCAGGAAGAATCAGAATCTCTTATGGCTGAACACTGATTTACAGCAGGGATGTTCTCGTGAGCTGCTCTCAGTGCTTCTGATAACAGCCATGAGGTAGTCCTGGCAAATTACCCTGTTGGTTACTGGTGAGTGCTTCCCCATGGAAAGAGCCGATTGTGTTGATAATGGACATTTGCTGCTCAGCATTAAGGAATACAGAAACAGATAACAGGCTTCACAAAGCATATCCAAGGTTCAAGTTTACCCATTAGCAGTAATCTCTTGATCTTTCTGTACATGGCGTGGGTGGAGGGCTGTGCTCACGTGTCATGCATGTACGTGGCAGTCTGGTTACTTGCATAAACGTCCTGGCAAAGCCACTTTTGACAAAAGTGATCAAAATGGGCTTGGGTGGCAAGGACATTTGGCGAAGTCTCCCATTTACCAAACACAGGGAGTGATGGATCAGTGTATTTGATTTGGACTCGACCAGCTAGCTGAGCGCTTTCCATCAGGACCATTCGTAGTAGTGAACAAGGACTCTTGGTGTACCAGGTGTTGGTTTGTTCTGCCGTAGTCTGCAGCTTCTCTACTCGCTGCTCAGTCCCTGAGATGCATGGAAGACTAAGCATCAATATTTATCTGCCACCTGTCTCTGACTCAAGCATCAAGATCAAGTCCAGACTGGAACTTGTTCTTTCGCCTCTGTTCAAGTCAGTCAGTGGGCCAAAGCTTCCTAGTCACCCAGAGCGGGCCCGTGTGGGCAGTTGTTCTCGTTTCCTTCATTCCAGCTGTTACTCTTCAGGTTGTGTTGTCTCCATGGATTTGGTGCAGCACTTTACCTGCCTGCTAGCCTGTCTCTCTAGATGTTCTTGTTGTTGAAATAATGGGCAATAGCAGTTGCTGTATCGTGGTTTGAGAGGTGTGACCACAGTATAAGTTACTGCTCAATCCTGTGTAATGAGTCTGGGACATACACATTAGAATCTTTGTAGGAAAAATTACTTAAGAATCAGTTTTTGTAAGGTGAGTAAATAAGATTTTGGGAGAGGAAGAGGGGTAACAATTAGCTGTTTGCATCTCAAGACAGTATGTAAAGGCTGTGTTCTGGGCTTCTTGTTGTTGAAATAATGGGCAATAGCAGTATGTAAAGGCTGTGTTCTGGGAAGGTTAGAATTAGAGTCATTTTTTGGTGGTCATGGGCAGGTGTATGCGTCCAGTCACACCTGAGTTCACTGCTAGCATGCATAAAAGGCTTGATCCTTCTTGGGTAGTGGTTGTTCAGTCTTGAATTTTCAGGAGACACTGAGATAACTTTTTTATTATCTGCCCGCAAGTATCAAACTTGCATGATTTTATGGCAGAGATGGATATCAAAATGTTTGGTTGGAGTTTTACGAAATAGCTTTGTTGTAAATAAGAAAAAAATAGTTAAATCTGCCATTTATCTTAACAGTGACTTTTTTTACATTTACTTAATGTGTTTAACATCTTTTTCTTAAAGGTGGGACAGAAATTGTTACAGAGAGCGACTTTCACAATGGACATTCTGTAGCTGGAGTAATTGAACAAGGAGGTGTTGGTAGAATGCAGCGAGAAAAAATGGTTTACATGGCTGTTAAGGACTCTTCTCAGGAAGATGAAGATATTAGTAAGCATAATAAGAAACATTTTTGTTTCTCATGCTGTTTTGTACAACAATATAAACATCATTCTCAAGGACTTTTTTAATTTTTCTGAAGGATTCTTCTGCCTGAAGTAGTAGAAAACTAAGCTCATCTTCCCTAGAAATAAAGAGCAGGCTATAATTATTTTAAAGTGATGTGGATAAATGCACTTTGTGCATACTGTATGCAATCATTTCATTATTTATATTAAATTTAACATGTCCATGGATGAAGTTAATGAGGTTAGTCAAATTTCTCATTTTTCTGTTTTCCTACTGTGAATTCCCTTGTTTAAACAGCTTTCTGGCAAAGTGGCAAATAAATGTCATCAATTACAAGTTCATAAGTTTGTATATTTGAATTTGTGTTGGTATTTATTTTGGATTTATATTTATTGATACATGTTTTCTCTCTTTAAGGAATGTCTGAATAAACAGTGATCCCCTAAGGGAAGGGGTGGTTCTAAATGCCAAAGGAAGAAAAGTAATTTATAATGGGTATCAAATCAGAGTGAGAGCAAGTTAAATGACGGAAAATTTAGGATGCGTGGAAGAAAATTAAAGATTTATTCTTCTCCTTTAATCCAGGCTGTGCTGAAATAGCAGATGAAGTTTATATGGAAGTTATTGTAGGTGAAGAAGAAGCTACATCACTTCCAGACACACAGCTTGAAGACTCTGGCGTGAATAAAACTTTTGTCCCTGTTGCTTGGGCTGCTGCTTACGGTAGGAATCTGTATGCTTATGTTCCACTTCCATTATTTGATCTCCAATCTACCTTCCAGAATGTCAATGCAAATATGATAATCTCTCACCTTGTCCTAGGGGTTTGGAAACAACTCCTTGTGATCTTTTATACTGTTCTTGATTCCATCTCAGATATACAGAATGTGTGGATGGTCATTTAAGTTGGCTGTTGAAGATTTTACAAAAACAAGAATAGCCTTGAGTATTTCACATTAGCTAGGAGGAAGGGGAAATAAGCTTTAATTTTAAAAGGGAATAGTAGGAATAAATGTATAAATGTGTTCCTAATAATTTCAGTTTATGTACCTGTTTTAAGCCTGTTAGTCCTTCAGATTAGAAACAAAAAAACCTCCAGGTCATTTGTTCTCTGCAGCCATGCTTCAAATAGTAGAAGTGTTTTATCAGGATATATGATGAATTCCGAGTATTCTGGTATTTCATGTTTTTTATTTTCTCAGATTTTGGCATGTTAAATGTATATCAAGAGGGTATCAGGTCATCCATAGTTTATGTTATAATCAGTCAGTTAAAATTCATTTATGTAATCCATCTGAGCATAGTAGCTGGGCTGATCAAGTGGTTTAGAACCACAGAGGCTTGGCACATAGCAGTAAACACTTTGAATCCAAAATTAGGAATATTCTCTTTTGAGATACTACTTCTGCATCTCCCAAACTTCATAGTGCCTCATGTAGATGCGTGCTGAGTGGCTGATAAGGTGCAAGTCTTCTTATCTGCCTAGTTCTACTCCAGAAAGATAAAGCACTTCCATCTCAGGAACATAAAGTGGCTTTCAGATAACCTGGTTTCTGGATTGGTGAGGTTAAAAGTTTGCAGAAACAAGCATATTAGGAGGAGCAGGAAAGACAGTCAGCATGGTAAGCATGCAAACACAGCTGCAGTGGATATTAACTGTTAAGAAAGATGTGATATTATTTCCTGGGGCTCCTAATTACAAAATACTGAACTGGTTGTGAACTGCACGTCCCAGTTTGGAGAGAGCTAAGCTGTTACTTATTAGCTAAGTTAGTTTTCTCATTATCAGGCTTTGAAAGCCATTGTCTTCAAAAAGAATTTTAATTTGTAATGACTAAAGTACCATTTTCTGCAGGAGATGAAAGAAGACTACCCAGAAGATACGAAGATGGTCAAGCGGCAGGTAAGAACACGTAACTCTGCTTGGTTCAACATTAAAGCTAACTTGCTGTCTTTGAAAATATATACCCTTATGTGCCAGTTCTGCTAATTAGTGAATGCAAAAAAATTATCTGTGCAGTGTATATTGAAGGACTTCGCAGTTTTTCACTACTATGTTGCAATGAAAACAGTTCTAGATGTGTTTTAGGCCTTCAGAGCGGGTGGGGAAGTTGGGAGGATCTGCCAGACTTTTTAATAATAAAGCCTGTAGTCAGAAAAGAGATAATGCAGTTGTTAAGAAGTAAAATGAAGTTAAATAAAAGGAAACAGCCATCATAACTTATAGGAAATGAATGTCTTGAAGTATGAGAAATCAAGGAATAGATTTGAAAATTAATTATGTTTGAAAAATTTGCTGGCAGAAGTCAAGAATACAAGATAGATAGTGCTTTATACTGGCACTCTTCTTTTTTTATATGTGCTCGTTGTAGAGGAACAGGCAGTAGTTTTTTAGAAAGAGTAGATATGCTGCTGTGAAATTCCAGTCATCAGTCCCAAAGGAAAAAGTTGTTTAAGGTTTTTTATGGTGTCTAATTTTTGTTTCTAGGAAATAACTTGGATACACGATTAGAAAACAAAAACGGTAATGCAACACAATACCTGCAGATATGTGATAGCATTAGCACTAATAGAGTGCTAAAACAAAAAACCAAGAAAAGGAGGAGAGGAGAGGCCAGGCAATGGCAAACAGGTAAACACTGTATGGTTATGCATATTGTCATGGAGTGGCACTTACTCCTGTACTATTCCTTTTTTTTTTTTTTTTTAAAAGCTGGTGCAGAATTAAAAAATACAAATGATAATTTGCGTATTTCCTGTGTCCTTCCCCCCTCCAATTCTGTGCACAGAAAATGTAATAATTTTTGCTATTGGCAGTCAGTGCGCTCAGGGCTGATGCAATTCGTTTGAATTTTGCAAGCTGATAAAAAGTAACGGCGGATATATTCACTGCACGTGCAGTATTACTGATCTTTCTGAGCAGTTTCTAAACCAAAGCTATATAAACTATAGGTGCTGTGGATTGGTTGTTTTTTTTTTTTGAACCGTTCTGTCTGCTGCAAGTGTAAGTGCATGAATCTGAACAGCAGTTGGCTGATTTAAAACTTCTTAATCGGTAAATTTGTTTCCTTCATAACTTGTTTTTGTTTGTTTAAAAACAGCTGTTATAATAGGTCCTGATGGACAGCCCTTAACAGTTTACCCTTGTCATATTTGTGGGAAAAAATTTAAATCCAGAGGATTCTTGAAAAGGCATATGAAGAACCATCCAGATCATATGATTAAGAAGAAATACCAGTGTACAGACTGTGACTTTACGACTAACAAAAAAGTAAGTTTCCACAATCATCTGGAAAGCCATAAACTTATCAATAAAGTTGATAAAACCCACGAGTTTACAGAATACACGAGAAGATACAGAGAAGCAAGCCCGTTGAGTTCTAATAAACTAATCCTGCGGGACAAGGAGCCTAAGCTGCACAAGTGCAAATATTGTGACTACGAAACTGCAGAGCAGGGACTACTCAACAGACACCTGCTGGCAGTTCACAGTAAGAACTTCCCTCACGTGTGCGTGGAGTGCGGGAAAGGGTTCCGTCACCCGTCGGAGCTGAAGAAGCATATGAGGACCCACACGGGGGAGAAGCCATACCAGTGTCAGCACTGTGTCTTCAGGTGTGCTGATCAGTCCAATCTGAAAACTCACATCAAAACCAAACACGGGACCGATCTGCCCTTTAAGTGTGAGCACTGTCCCCAGGCGTTTGCGGATGAGAAGGAGCTGCAGCAGCACACAGAGTTGTTTCAAGGGCATAAGACTCACCAGTGCCCTCACTGTGACCATAAGAGCACCAATTCCAGTGACCTGAAGCGACACATTATCTCGGTTCACACGAAGGATTTTCCCCACAAGTGCGAGGTATGTGAAAAAGGCTTCCATCGTCCCTCCGAGCTCAAAAAGCATAGTGAAACCCATAAAGGTAAAAAGATCCATCAGTGTAGACACTGTGACTTCAAAACATCAGATCCTTTTGTACTTAGTGGGCATATCCTCTCAGTTCACACCAAGGACCTGCCTTTTAAATGCAAAAGATGTAAAAGAGGATTTAGGCAGCAGAATGAACTTAAGAAGCACATGAAGACCCACAGTGGAAGAAAAGTTTATCAGTGCCAGTATTGTGAATATAGCACTACGGATGCGTCAGGCTTTAAGCGACATGTAATATCAATACACACGAAAGACTACCCACATAGGTGTGAGTATTGCAAAAAGGGATTCCGTAGACCATCCGAAAAAAATCAGCATATAATGCGGCACCACAAAGAGGCCATAATGTAATATATGGTCTCAAGAAGGAAGCAATTTAGAAACTGTGATATGCTAATTGGGGAAAAAAAAAAAAATCTCATGAACTGTTTCTCCTGGTTTCAAAGCTTGATATTAAATCATAACTTTACATTCTTTGTATTAAAAGTCTTAAAAGTATGAGGGTTGACAGGGGATCTCATAGCCCTAGGATTGTTGCTTATCAGAACCTAAAGAGCACTATGGAATGCAGAAGGATGGATGAATGTCTTAAATTTGCAGAAAGATGGATGAATGTCGTCAGATTAATAGTATGACACATTGTTAAGCTAAAGAAGACAAAACGAGGATGATTGTGTTATCCATTTTGTCCGTAACAGCACTTGTCTCCAGTATGAATACAGGTCAGCTGTATGGTGGGGTTATTTACAAATTGTTTGCAAAGGCAACTAAGTCTAACTTCTTGTGCAGTTTTGAAAGGAGAGTATTAGTCAGTCGCTTGATCATAATATTTTGAAATCGTGCCTGGAAATTAAATTCCAGAACTGTTCAAGTTTGGGGGGTTGTCCCTTTTTTTTTTTTTTTTTAAAAAAAAAAAAAACAAACATTTCATTGGGAAACGTTCTCGTTTCCTTTATTAGTTTAGGTCCAAGGAGTAATTTTTTAATGGTTTTCAAAGCTGCTAACCTATTTTATTGCAGGACGTGATGTCTAAAATATAGCATTATGTTATGATCTCAAAGACGGTGTTCTGGTGCTAAGGGTTAAAGATGTGTATGTATATAATTTCCCTTTTTTATCTGAAACTACAGTTGAATGTTGTTCAGTATGGCACATAACAAAATTAACTTTGAATTTGACTTTTTTTTTTTTCCTAAGGATGAAATGGATGCAGCTCATAGTGTTGTGACTCAACACTCTTTTTTTTTCTCACTACTTTAAAATCTTCTCTAAAAAGAGTATTAAAAACAAAGTTGAAAAATGTAGGATTTTTTTAATTAAAATTCAGAGTACTTAGATGTTCTTTGGGGCAGTATTCTTAACAGGTATGACTCTTACTGTCCTACCTCCTAATATGAAATTTTCAATATAGACATAAAATTGCACCTTTTACTCAATTCTTTAAAAAAAATCTATACCATGCTATAAACATGCATTTTCAATCTGTAAGAAAGTATATATGCAGTATTTAACCAGAAAAACATGCTGCCACTAGAGTTTGGAGGTGGATCTTCAGTTTACAGTGTATACATTGAAAATATGCATCCCTTTAAACAATGCTTTGTGTTAGCATGCTGCAAATCAAATGGCGCTTAATATACGAGCTGGTCTAGGGCTATTTAATGAAAAACCTGTTCATAAATGTTATGCATATAATGTGTATTTTTTACTTTTTTAGTTGCTTCATGTTTGCACACAGCTGTTCACATGATAAATTGTAACTCCATGCTATATTGTGGCTTTGTGTTTCAGATAATGTTCATATTTTGTTTTTGCACCAGATGAGAATCAGTTCCTTGAGAATAAATTTTTTTTATATTTCTAAACTTCAGAAAGTTAAATTTGGGAAATCTCTTAGAAAAATACGTGTTTTATGTGGCTGTAAAAAATGATGTACACGCTGTAAAATAAGATTGTCACTGTTATGTGGGATTATTATTTCTAAATGTGTTACTCATCGTAACGGGCATACAATAAAACGCATCTCTTGCACTCCAAATTTTTTGGAGTTTGCTTTTCATTTATGGTGTTTAGGAAAGTCTTATTCAGTGTAAATTTGCCTAGTGTTTCTAATGACACTAATTAATACGTAATAACGTTTCAAGTTACAAACAGGTTACTTGAGGTTTATTTATCAGACCGTTGAGGGAAGAGTATTGGGGGTTTATTTGACTTTTGACTCTTTAAAGTTACAGGTAATGTGCTTATTTCTAAAATAATTGTCAAATGTGATACTGACACTCCTTTGAAATTTTTTCCTTTAAGTAAAGAGAACATAAAACTTCTCATATATTTTGGGAAAAGCCAGGTAGGTGTTTTCTTTTTATCTGTGTAATAAGAACGGCTTGCAAAATGAAATACTAAAAATACTGCTTTCTTAATTTCCCTCTCTTTTAGAATACTTGAATTATGACATCAGTAATAGAGTAAAAACTTTCAGAAGAGAGTGCAATACTAAGTGAACTCTTCATCAAGGATTTCCGACGGGCTTTTAGCCACTCAACTCGTAGGTTTTGTGCTAAAAACCAGAAACGATGCAGACATGAACCAATTCATCCGTTTTTTGTTCATGCTACTTTTTTTTTGTATGCCCAGCAATCAGAGGAGGCCGTAGCATTCAAAAAATCTTAGAAAATACTTGTGTATTGTTGACCATTTTAATGCTTTATTCCTGAATGTTACACTGAATATACAGACTGAAGGAGTTTCTTCGTAGCAGACTGAAGATGATCGTTCTCACCCTGTGACAAAGCACACGTCTGTGCTGCCTCATTTTCCCCCTTACAGATGGACGGAAGGATCAGGTATGTGAGTATTTTCAAACATTTTCTGCAGCCAACTTTGTAGAAAGACTTAATCCCACATTGCCCAAGAGTCCGTCACCGTGTACCATGTACCGTGGGGTACAGAGCAGGACGTGGGGGCTAGGAATGGCAGAAATTAACCTTCTGGAGAGGGAGCATTTTGGACAGCAGTATGAAGTCTGGACATAATGCTTTTAAGCATGGCATTGAGATCATGTTTTGATACCTTTTATTACTCATACTTGGTATTTACTGGTGAACTCTATTACATTTACGTTTTACAATGTATGTTTGAGGATAACAGTAGTGTTTTTTCCAAGAAGTACAGTGAAAGGCTTTGACCTTTACATAACTGACAGTTTAAAATTACATCCGTGGGTTAATTCTTTGTGGTGGACAGTTTTTTCAGCAGGAGCTGATTGTCATTTAGTTCCGAGTTGGTGAGTGGTATCTGCTGTTCTAAGAGTGTGGAACACAGTGAGGCATCACTTTCATTACCTAGATTTTCCATTGCATCTAGTTTTTTCTTGCATCCCATGAAGGGCACTGAAGTTCTTTTAACATATTTAATGATAGCAGGAAGTATACGATGGATGCTGGGTAAAAGTTTAATTCATTTACAGCTTCATTATTATATTATAGAATGTTGAATTTGGGAACTTCGTATTACCGAAGTTGAAATTCACGTTGAGGTTTAACAGTCTGTAAGTCCACCTAATGAGATTTCTTTTTAATTAGGGAAAAAAATGTCACGCCTTTTGGAACATGTTTTTCAAGACATGAGGGAGGAAGTAGTGGTTGGAAAAGCTACAAATGCAGTTGGTTGTTATCAACTAAGGTACAAATATGGGAAAATATGTAGGACTTGAAGCAGGTGCAGACTAGCACAGCCCTCATAGTGTGAGCCCTGCTTTTTGTGGTGGCTGGGGGGAGAAACTGAGTTGTAAAACTTAAACTTAGCAGGATGGTTACAGGTTACAGCCTTTTCCAGTATGAGGTCTCAAGGTGAGTTACCACTTTTCTTTGGTGACTTCCTGCATTAGTGTTTTGAAAGTTTCTTTCTTTATATTAATTGTTTTTCTCTTCTTCTCTCGGCAGTGTATGGACAATGAAACCCAGCTAAGGCCTGTGGAAACAAGGTCTGTCAGAGAGCCTTGAGACTTAACCCACACGGTGGTAAGGTTCATGGGCTACTGCCCCTATGTTGTTAAATTTCACAGTTTAAAAACATAAGTTTGTCAGACTTCTTGCTTGGGCAGTGGTCTTTCAGTTCAGTAGCTTGTGATACCCCTGGGATAGTGTGTGCTTCTACTCGGCCCTTTGCCGGTTCTGTGCAGTGCTGCTCAGATGTTTGTGACTGAGACTGGACTTAACATGTCCTTCTGTAGCTGAAATTCCCACCAGTGCTTCTGCTCCTTCTTCCAGAATTGTTGACTTTGTTTTTAGCTGCGATGTCGAAGCTTCTTGTAACTAGCTGGATGTTAGTTGTGCTGTGATGTGTGGAAAGAGGAAGGAATCAACAAGAAAGGGCCTGGGCAATGTGGGGCTGTGGAATAAAGGACGTACAAGTTGGGGTTAGGGAAGGGAAAATAAAGGAATGTGCCTAGACAAAGAGAAACCTGAGAGGAAGTGGTATGATAACAGTGCTCTTATTTTGTATGTGTTGTTGGAGTAATTTAGGATCTTTTTATGTATATCTTAAGTAGATGTATATATCTAGATACAGATATATATAGACTCAGGTAGAACCTCCCCCCCCCAACTGTGCATCCCCGGTAATTGACATTCTGTATTAAAGCAAGCGGTTGGTTGGTACACTTGAAATAAGATTTTAATAGGAAGTGGCATTTTAAATCTTCCGAAATGTAAGAATAAAATTTCACCTGAATCCTCAGCCGTGTGAGGCACAGCTCCCAGATTCTTTTCAATGCACTTTCCCAGTAATTATTTAAGAGGATTTGTGATGTGATTTATTGTTAACCATGGGGATGTCATGATTTCAAAAATGCACCATGTCACATCGCAGTAAAATTCTTGTGTCTCAGTACTTCCACAGATCCCTGCTCTGTGTAGTCTGCGCTCCTGAGCTGGCAGCAAACCGCCTTCTGTTGCCCAAACCGGTGAAGCCTTTAGGATGGGATGAAGTGCTCTCCAGGCAGGTCCTGCTTGTTTGTTTTCAAAGCTGATGAGTTCCTATGTGGCGGTAGGAAGCAAGTGAAGGAGAGACACTACCACCACCTGTAAGCCTCGCGAGTCTTTTGACTTCAGTGTTGAATGATAAAAGTTGGTGGTATCAGATTTTATTACTTGTCCTGAAAACTCTGAACGCTGTCTCCCATGGTTGTTGTGAAGTGGCATGGTCTCTGCAGTTTTAAAGGCACTCTTCAGTAGACATGATCTTTTTTCATGCACACCTGCTTTGCTCAGCGCAGTTTACGTACGTCTTGTCTTCTGCTGCGTTTTCAGTAAGGGCTTTGAAGCTGTTGTGTTGAGCACAGCCTCTGCTTGCCACATCGTTCCAAGTCTGTCCCCACAGCCACACTAACAGGGTGGATCACCTTTCCCAATGTTTGTGGTAGGCTGCCACTCCACAGTACCGGAGTAGGGAACGGTGCCGTGTGCCGTAAAGCTGTTGGCTACCTGGGAGGACAGCGCTGAGCTGTTCTCGGCCGTGTTTGCGTTTCTCCCCTGCCTGCCCCTGGGTGCTGTGCCTGATGTACTGTGAGATCTTGGTTGCTTGAGCAAGCAGCGAGTTTCACAAACACAGGGAAGGGTGACTCTGGCATGTCAGATCTGTTCGTTGCATTTTTTTATTTGAATGACAGGCTAAAAACTCCCGAAAAGCCGGGAGCAATTAAAAGTGATTCATGTCTTGCTCATCATCTGTAATTTTTTTTTTTTTTTTAGGTTTCAAATGTCCACAATTAAAGGTAATGAGAGAGAGAAAATAGACAAGAACACCAGCAGAGTACTCTCAAGGTACAGGTAAGGAAGTTACCTTCATGTAGCATTCAAAGTCTGTGTCAGCTGGTCAGACAATGCTACTGGTGTCAGTAACTTTTGAACCAGGGCTCTGTTTGCCTTTTGTTTTACAGCTGAGCCAGGAAAAGTGTTCCACATTGCATACCGAGTTGTTTGGAAAGTCAGTGATAGAAACCAGAAGACAGTTTTCTTCTACTCTTCAGTGTAAGAACAAGAAACTGCACGCTATCAAATCTGTTCAGGTGGTGAGCGTTTATTTAATAATACTGTTGGTAATGACAGTCTTAATAGGGCAGTGAGTATATTGTTGTAAATACGTGAAGTAAACACCGTCTTTGATTTTTTTCTAATTTGTCCCTGAAAAAATGTAGCAGTCAGTGAAAAATTGTCTCATGTATACTGTTTGTAATTAGGGTGGTAAGTAGCATTTACAGCGATGGGTAAATGAGCAAAATGTGTTTCTGTAAACTCCAGCAGAAATAGTTCGGTAAATCCGTTTTGGTTTGACAGAAAAGAGGCAATAGCTGAGACTACAGCAGATAACAGGTACTTTTGTAATGCAAAATACTGTATTTGCTTTTAAAATCCATCTGGTTTGAAAACAAAACCAGCCCCAAATGGCCATTGTGCTTCATCTACTGCTTTAACTGAGGTTTTTGACAAGTATCTATTGCTACGTGTTATCTGTGAGTAAAATGTGGTGTGTTAGGCCAGTAGCATTTGGTAAATGTAATAAATTTAGTAGTAAATGTGGTGTTAGGCACTGTAGCATTTACAGTGTACGAAGGGTTAAAATACTCTACCAAGCCTTACAGAAGCTGATCCGTGCTCCACAACACAGTGATGACATCTGGCTGTCCTAATTAGCCAGCCGGGCTTTTTTACATCGTATATGGGTTACCCATCAATTCGGGTATGGGGAACGATCCCGGTGTTTCAGATCTGTCACAATGCCAGCCCTGGCTGCGGACCAGCTCATTTGCCTAATCATGGCCTTTGCCCCGCAGTTACACCACCACACCCAACAGCCCACCCTTGTGCTTCTGCCCTTGAAGGGTGTGGGCTGTTACGTGGGCTTAAGTCATAACCCAGTTGAAGAAGCACCAGTTAGTGCTGGGGATGGCGTGGTTAGTAATAGACTATTACTGGTGAAATGCGTGCACAGCATGGCTGTTGGTAATTCACATTTCTGCTGTTCACAGCTGCTTCTGGGCCGTCTGTGTAACACTTGCAGTGAGTCCAGCCCGCCTGAGATCACGGCAGAGGCCATGGTAAGTCAGCAAATTCCTCTGTGGCTCCTCCAGTGGGGATGACTGCACAGGAACAGTGTGATGGCATTGGACAAATGCGCTGTGCTTCCTCTTAGCTTTTATTGGTTAGGGCACCACAGGTGAAAATCATTAGATGACAGCAGAACTAGAATAATTTATTGGGCTAGAATGCACTTGGACACTATTCTGTGATATTGGTATGTTAACTCTGCGTGGATCTGTACCTTACATCTGACTGCTGTACAGAAATGGGGTTATTTTAGAATCTAATAAATGGATTTCAGTGGGGCAAGGCACTTGTCATCCAAATGAGGATATTTAATTTTTAGCTAATTAAAACTTCTTTATCATAGAGCAAGGCTAAACCGATTGTTGTTTGATGGTGCACACTTACTTGGCTTCCAAAACTGCAGGCCAGGCTTGGGCTGGACATACTCAAAGAGCAGAGCCAGGAGCAGGCTTTACCCTTGGCTCTTTCTCCCAGTTACGAAAAGGACAAGGTAATTTGCCATCCCACCATTAACTGAGTGGAGGACTGGCACCAGTAACACAGAAAGGGACCCAAGACTGTTCCTTCACTTGTAAAGATTCCTTCAGAGGAACAAGTTATCTAAAAAACTGCAGTATCACACCCCTAAAACAACCCCCTCCAGCCTATCAGTCAGACACACACAAGATGTTTCTAGGACAGACAGGATTCAGAAAGTCACACTCAGGTTTATTTCATAGTTAAACATACCCTACAGTGTTCTTTCACCATTAAACATTGTCCATCATATATATTATTTGTAAATAGAAATACATGTCTGCAGAGATAAAGCAAAGCAAGAACCCCAGGAGAACAAGCTAGCACCTTTTGATTGCATAGTTTAGAATTTAATTCTATGTACTGTGTTGCTTTGACAACTACTTAATGATTAATAAATCATTTTAGAGAATTTCTGTGGCCCAGCAAGGAGCAAAACTCGGAAATAGAAGGTTGGTCTGATAATGAAATTTAGTCTGAGAGCTATTTTCATACTAAGTTTTTCTATATAAAAATATACTATTTTCTTGAAATTTTCAAGCAAGCACAGGAAACAAATACTTATGGCTGGTTTGGGGCTTATAAACATTCAGCTGAAAATGCATCAACTCTGAGATCAATAGCATTCTTTAAAATTAGCATTTGCCCAGTCATTTCACTGAATGGGGCAGCTCCAGTGTTCCCCAGTTCAGTAGTTAAGTTTGAGGAGTTGTACAGCTGGAGTAAGTTAAACAATTTTCCTGTGGTGTGTTTTAGCTCCTCACACATAGGCAGATACAAGGTAAGCATTTTTCATTGAGGTATTTTTGAAGTTCCCCATGAAGGTTGTTCCTGGGGTTTGCTTCATCTAGCAGTAGATAAAACAATCTGTGGATCTGTACTGGAACCAGCCCTTCAGTACACACGGGACTTAAAATTTGTGTCACTGTCACGTCTCAGCAGGAGTAGACAGGACAGAAGAATGTGGCCAATAGTACAGAGAGGAAAAGGTTTCAGACTCCTTCCTTTTGTCTCCTAGATTGCTTCAGGTCTGGCGGAAGAACAGAAGTTAGTCATGTCGAGAAAACCAAAGTCCACGAAAGCCTGGCACAGCGCTCTTCGGAGCAAAAGGTAAGCGCATGGAAAAGCACAAGTAGCATTTGTGCACAGGTGTTAGTGGCAGATGATGGGCACAGGTAAACGAGTTCTTTATGGTGAGGATGAGAGTGTTTTCCATCATCTCCGTGTCCTTGATGTGCTCCCCAGCCTTTCCCACTATCAGACTGACCCTTTTTCTGATGCAAAGTAGCAGAAAGTGAAGCAGTTTTAGTTGTCGGTAACTCCTTTGAGCAGCGCTCATGGCTTCGGGGTTTCTTTCACTCCTGAAAGACACGAGCAGCTTGTTAGATGATAATACAGAAACTTATTTCTGTCTATAAACCCGAACGGCCTGGCACATAAAGCATGAACTTATTTATTTTCTTTAACAGCCTGACTTGTGAAGTGTCTCAGGTGGTGGGTGAGCCTTTCCTCCTAACGAGCACTCAGCATGCCAGTGCTCAGAGCAGCCCGTACTGGTGAGGCCAAAGCTGCACCATTAAGCTGTGAAGGGTTTGTTCAGGTGTCAGAAGTCCATGATTGATAAAAAACAAGGACAACAGCTTTTTATGTACTTTGGAAAAAAACAAGAACAGGAAGTTATCAGATACCTACATAGTAGTATTACAAAATTTCGACCCTAAAAGCTTTCTGTACTATAACTAGGATCAACGTTACAAAGAATTAGTTTCATATGAGTATCTTAAAGGACTGAGCAGAACTAATCACTGCTTGGAAGACAGTACTGTGTACAGGATAGTTACCCTCAGTGTAAACCCCCCACTGTACAGACACGTTCAATAATGAATGCAGATGCAAACATCTGTCTGGCAGCACAAGAACACAGAAAAAGTGCTCGTGAAGCTTCGAGTCAAGGTGAACTGGCACTGCTCCAACAGGATTTATCAGGTTTATCTTGCAGCAAAGTAATTTTGTTTCAGCTGAAACTTGCACTAGTGATTGACAGAGAGCTTGGGAAACTTAAAATACAAACAGTTCTCATTTAGTTAATGATACTTATCTCTGCAAAGGGAGAGTACACTCATCTTTTCCAGTTTTTATAATGGAAAATATGACTGACTTTTCAAGTAAGCTAGGAGGGAGGGGCTTTGGCTTTATTTTTGTAATTTCTTTATTACTGTTTAATTCCTTGATGTTTCACTGGGTTGCAATCACTGGGATGCGTTTTAGAAATCAGTAGTAAGACTGCTGTTTGCCAGTGACCTCTGCCTTTTATTTTCTTAATCTAACTCCAGGTAACATACCCTTTTAGAGCATGCCAGATGTTTTGCCCTTCCTCTACTCAGGCTGCTCACACAATTGTCCTTTCCTGGGTCGTATGCCCCCACAAAGCTGCTCTGTTAACACTTTTTTCTGCCGCTTTGCCGTACTCTGTTTGGAGACGACTTCTTCAGCTCCCACTGTTGAGAACACGTGGTTGGGAGCTGGCCCTTTCTCGAGCCTTCACCTTCTAATCGGACTGGGCAGCATTTCCCTTGTGCCCTCTGCCATAAATAGCTTCTGCAGTCCTATTTTCTCGTTTTGTTTCGAATCGCTCCTTGAAAAGTCACCACTGTGAGGGCAGCTGGATGAGTCGCTGCCCTGTCTCACTGTCAGTCTCAGGGATGTGGTGCTTCATGTGTCCTAGTGACACTCTGGAGTCAGTAATACTCGTGACTCCGGAGGCATCCTGCCCACCCAAAACACTCCTTCCCCTGAGAGCACAGCACGGAAGGAGCTCCTACTAACGCCCCGTCTTCTGTTGAAGGTAATTATGTGTCAGAGAAAACAAGGAAAGGTTATTTTGATTTTACTCCACCCACCAATTGCTGCCTTTTTGCAACAGACAGTACAGTTCCTGGACATTAATCAGTCATCCCTTTGCTTTTTGCAGCCAAGTCCAATTAACACTATGGCTTTCTCTCAGATGCCAGTTTTGACCAATACTTTCTTTGAAGTTAAAGTGAATATTTAGGAATTCCAGAGACTGAACAGTCAATCTCTGGGTGCAAACTTACATGTTTCCATATCTCTCCAGTCCTCTCAATTACAATAGTTTGTGACTTATTGACAGGTGATGTAACCTTGTAGTCGTCAGACAGTAGACCCAGGATAGGATACTGATTCCTGTACCTGTATTGGAAAGAGGAGTTGCAAACCTGTAAGCTGAAATCTGCACACCTTGGCCAAATCACTAACTCTGAGCTTGCCACCTCATCCTTCCCGTCATTAATGCCCAAAGATTTTCACCAGTGACTAAAAAGCTGATACAGTCACTTAAAGGTCAGTTTAACGTGCTGGCCACCCCTCCCACTGCTGTTACGGTGCTGATGTTGCACCCTCCCCGATCATGAGCGTTCCCCTTTCAGGTGAACAGGCAAGTCTGACAATGTTTTCAGGAGGCAAAAATTTGGTTGACAGGGGCTGTACAATGGAAAACCAAAAGGTGAGTAACTACATTACTTCTTGGTGATGATAGCTGTTACACCAGGGGACTGACT